TTTCTGACCTCATTCCTTCTCCATCTGTGACAAAACCAACCTACCAGTCCTATGGTCCTAGACATGAAGAGTCAGACAGATGTCTGACACCTACCTGCAAAGCCTTCTGCATAAATGGTACCCAGTCTTGAAACAGTTAACATACCCAAGACACAGCATGTTGTAGAGCTATTTGGTCGGTAAAAGGGCCAGCAGGGGAAGAGAAAACTCAAACCAACAACCTCAACCCTAAGTTTCAGAGCAGCCCAGGTACAATTCAAACTGCTCTACCTAGTTTTACATAATTTTCAAATTGTTTTCCTAAATTAGGTGCTCAAATTCAGTATTATTTATTGTGGCCACTACACAATAAGAAAGTCATCTCTCTACATCCAAGTTTAAAATCTTCCTCACAAATAAATCCAGACTAGAAGTTATTTACACTATCTAGAAGATGTTCAAGAAAATCTAAATCAAGAATCATTAACTTTGTGTTTCTATATGCTAGCATCTGCATCATGGGCATTAGAGGTCACTCTCACTGACAGAAGCAGCTTTTGACTTGATACTAGATTGTGTACTTCCTCAATGAATCTTGTGTCGCACAAGTAATTAATGTACCACAGCTTATGAACTACTCATGTGAACAGTACATCTGTTGTACAGTTTTGCTCAGAAAAGTGAAACTTGATAGTTTCAAAAGGTGAAAATTCAGGGAAGGCAAAAACATTCATGAAAGAAAATCAAAACTAAAGAAAAGTAGCAAAAGTTCATCACAAAGGAAGACTTGAATAGATAAAACAGGAAAATACTTAGACTAAGGAAGTTCAAAGGAAATCTGGCACCTGAATCCTCGAGCATTACAATGGAACTCTAATTCCTTCAGTTTCCCTGTGAAAACGTGTGCCAAAAAGAAGGAAATGTTGAATCTAAAACCCTGAAAAGAAGGAAACCACTTTTTTTTTTAAGCGAATCTCCTAATTATCCTAACATTTCATTTTGGTTTGCAGTGAGGTCTCAGTGTGTGTGTGTGTGGTCCTTCTTCTCCAGTTAATTTCATTCTTAATAACTGTTCCTGAAGATAAAAATAGGATAGTGTTGCGTATGTACCTGGTCGCTCAGTGTTTTTATTGCTTGAATGTCCGTTTCCTTCAGAATCCATTCTATGAATATTGACTACTTCCTGACACAACCTCTGATGTAAGTTATAAAGTGTAAAATTATTTCTGCTTGTTGTGAGTGACCAAACCACGGTCACAGAATGCAGTTAAAACATGGAGGAGGAAAGAGAGCTTAACATTTTCCAGCATCTTTTCAAAATAGTCTGCTAGAATGGAGAACTATTTCTCACAGCTCTTTTTCTAGCTCTTCAAGTCATTTTGTGATAATGGAAGCATTATAAAAGCGACAGAGACAGAGTCTTCCTAGGAACTAAGACAACCAGGAAAATCAAGTATGTTAGTTTCTTTGTTTCTCAGTTTTTGAAAGCAATCACAAGAGAAAACAGATTGTGCATGCAGAATTCTGAAAGAAAAAAAGCAGATACAAGTAAGTATAGAATTCAAGAATGAAGCCTTAAGATCTAACGTTTTAGGGAAATGGCCTGAGGACCTGAACAAAATTTATGCCATTTCTTAGGTGAAATTAGTTTAAAAGCCAAATTATCCATAATCATAGTGGACGGTATATTACATAAAAAGTACGCTAAAATGCTTTCTCAAATAGTGTTGAATAAAATATGGAACTATAATAGTAACATGCTTCCAAAGTGCATACACAGAATTTTAATATCTCAAATTTGATTGCTATCAAAGTGGTTTAACACTGCAGGCAGCTTTTTGGAAAATGTCTCCCTAACAGTTCATACATTTATCAAATACATTTTATCTTTCCTTCCTAAGTGCTTGGGAGAGTTAATAAATACATGTATTTTATACTAAAGCAAAGTTAGAAGGCAAAATTAAATAGCTAATCATAGAGACCTCAGTAAAAAGGGAAAAGAGATGAAAACGGAACAGGTGACATGACAGCTTTAAAATATAGAAGTTTCTAAATATAAAACTTGTGCTGAAATGTGGAGAGAGATATGTAAAAAACTAGGTTCAGAAAACTGCCCTGTTTACTGTTCTTGTTTGATACTACACCAAGTCGTTCACAACAGACAGGCTTATTGACCACCTGGAACATCAGCTAAGCCATAAAATGCAATGACTGGAAGTTGAATGCAAAATGAGATCACAGCTTCAGTATTAGGACAGGGTGAAGTAATGCAGTCTGTGTTACTGGGAAACAGTACCAGGCAGCCCGGAAGACTTATGCTGCTACTGTGAAGCCAAGGCAGGAAAAAAGGTTAGTCTACCGTGAGTAACAATTTCACAGCATGGCTAGTATTTTGGCTTTTTTGTAAAAGTATGATGAAAAAATGATTCTGAGATTCTCAGCCTATCTCACTATTTCTGAATTTCTCCCTTCAGTTTTTAGAGTCAGTGAGGAAAAAACAAGTAATTAATTAGCAGCAATTAGCAGCACAGTTTTTCCACAAGCATAAATGTTGCTCATAAAATGATCTAGCAATCATATTCCAGCAAGTCTACTAAGAAGAATATTTGGTTCCAACACGTTTTCAAAGTATTCTTTCTTCATTATAGGGAACAGTGGTAAAGCAGTAACACCTGCACCTAATCCACACTTCATCTGCTGTTAAGTGTAGGGACTTTCCACAAAAATTATTCTTAACATGATTCTGCTGTCCCTGACTTGTGAGTGAGACTAGGTGCAAGAAAAAGCATGCACTCACTGGTCTTATGGCCTCCCAACAAGGGAAATAAGGCCGCAGAATCCTCAGGGCAAAAGATTTACATCATGAAAATATTTAAGATATAAAAGAGTAAGTAGTGGAAAGTGCAATTTATAAAGATTGCTTTGCTGCTCTAATATTTCTGTCAAGTGATTGCTCTTTCAGTTTTACTATGCACATGAATTAGATTGTTTTGGACAGTTCCTCACTGCTTCTGTGAAAAAAATAAATATAGTCTCATGACAACAGTTACAGCTTTTATATATGCCTGTGTAAAATGTACATATAGAAAATGATATGATGTCCAGATCAATTTTTACATCATCTTTTTCTTCTAAATCCTTCTTTCTACATCACCCAGAAGTATTGTTGAGGCATGGTAAGCTTCAAGGAGAGAATACAGACAGTTCCTTGCTGGGAACAGCAAGGTCTGCAACATCCTTTACAAAACAAAGGTGTGGCAAGTACATCTTCAGGAAAATCACAGTATATGGCGAATTTTTGAATGAAACTGAAAACAAGTCACCCTCCTTTCATTTTTCTAACTCAGGTCTTTAATTTCAGATAGATACCATTTCTTCAAGGAAAATGGTATGGCTTATTCTGATATCTATATTAACATGAAACGGATGCTCACACATACATTTGTGTGGGATACTAGCAATGAAAATTATTTTCTTTGGCAAATAAGATATGAATAATTTATCTGGGTGTTTTGAAATTAGAAAGCATATCTGAGAAGTAATCTATAGAAATAATAATTAGGAAAAATACTTAAATATTCTGTGTAAATACAGAAATTTACCTATCTCCTATACTTCAGCAATGAATAACTTGTAATGATTAAAGTACACTAATTCTGTGGTAAGCCAAGCTTTACGATAACACTGGCTAAATCGAATAAATCAATTGCTATCATATAAAAGTCATAAATAAATTCTGGTAAAATTACAACACTAAAGGCAATTCACTCCTTTCCTATCCTATCTCAGATCAGATGTGACCAGCAATATCATCTAAAATTTAATTCAAAAACTAAAACCAAATAGTTTAATTCTTTCCAGATAGTTCAGGTTTACACTTTCTAGATTTTATTGTCACATTTCAAATTATCAGGCACAACATAGGAAAATACAGAAAGTAGTATTTGCAACAGAAAAACCATCTTAGGGAAAAAAACCAACAGTTGAAAGGACTGGCAAGTTTGAGGAGAAAGATAAGCATATCTAGAACCAAATAATTGTGAAATCTATTTCCTATTTTGTTTTCTGTTAATTCAGTAAAAAGTAAAAGCAGTTATAAATGCATAACTCATTTATTTTGGAGATTTCTTACCCCTTTTTTCCTTAACTGATCTTTCAAACTAGGAAAATTTTATTTTAAAAAGAAATTTCTTAGCAATGGCATGTTTTTCCTTTCTGGTACTTCAGATTTTAGGAAACTGTGACTTGTTGCAGGATAAATTGATAAAATAAGTATTGATAATAGTTTAAATATATTCAAAAGATTACTTTTCAAGTGTATTCATTTGCACTTATTACAAAAACATACAATTTTTCATGAAAAAAACTTTTAAGAAGCCTTTCAATTTAAATTTAATTAAGAAATTTAACAATTGATGCTTTTCTACCTAGTATTTCATAAACATTTTTATAGTGGTGTTGCTCAACTTGACAGTTGTAAAATACACCTATATTTATGTGGATTTAATCTCTTAATTCAAAGCCTTTCCTAGGAATACATCAAGACTGCATTACTATATGGGCTCATTCACCCTTTTTATATCACACTTGTAGCACTTATTATGAGGTCAGGTTGCATCCTTCTTGTTTCTTTTACACATAATCATCACTTTGATGTCACATATGACATTTGTGCTTTGATGGTAAGACATTATTTATAAAGGAAATCATATTTCAAAAGTCCAAGAAAATCATTGCAGGGGTGAGGAAAAAATAACTGTCAAAAAATGAACAATACACACTTCAGAGGAACTTTACTGGATGCATCTCTGATTTATTACTTAATTATTTAATTTAAGTAAAACAAACAAACTTCATTGACATGGGGCTAATTCTTTTTTCCACAACAAGCCAGATTCAACAGATCAACTGAAGAGTTGCACTCATCAAAACACCGAGTTTTATACACACTCTAGATTTCAGGGGACATAAAAGATGACACCTTGTAAAAAATTCAAAGTACAACTCAAGAAATTACATACCTTGTGGTTGTTTAAGCAGAAGATGGAAAACAGATTCCTTACTGGTGGACAAGGATCGGACAGATGCACTGAGATGACAACTGGGCTGCTCCTGATCTAAAAAAAAAAAAATTTAAAAAAGCATTCAGGGAAACTCATTTAGAAGTCAAAATTGATTGGACAATTTCCCTAATAAAACAGCTTCATAGACAGAGGTTTTAAAAAATACATTCTCAAATGGAAACGCGTGGGCCTTTTTTTTTTCCCCTTTGCTTAAATGTTCTCTCAGTATTTTCCTCGTTGTGATCAAGAAAAGTATAGATATAATATGGAGATCTTCTTAAATAGAATTAAAACAAAATAACACACCATCAAGAAAACCTAAAGTTTAAAATGTTTTCAGTTAAATAACATCTAGAGATTACAAAAGAAACTGTTTTCTAGATAAAAAAATCAAATGGCCAAGAAAGCCCTTGGTGATAACGAAACATTTCAAGAGAAAGCTTGAGAGAAACGGGTTCAGGACCAGCAGTACTGCAACAGTACCAGACAAGAATTGCTTTCTTGATGACAAGTTACCGGATCAACTTACAGATTACTTCATAGAGACAGAGAATTTAGACATCATTTTGATTGTTTTCACCGATTACTGTCAATGTTGTGGATAAATGAAGAACTAGACAGGAAAAACTTGTTTGAAGTCCAATTTCATAAATGGGTTTTGGAGCTGTTCAAGCAAAGGTGTCTAGCTAAAAGAATTGACACTTGCAGGAAATGCCTTGTAGGAAATACATCTAGCAGTTAACTCCAAGAATCTGAGCCCAATAGATAGACTATATCTGAATAATATGTCATATTAAAGGGTAGTAGCACTGGATGATGAACTGCTGACGGGAAGATATGATACACAGGAATGCATCAAACAGCCAGGGGAAGACTGTCATTTGGGGTTACGGAACAAAGTTAAAATAGCTTTAAGGAACAGAACAATGAGCAAAGATGTTCAGGAAGGCAAAGAAAAGCTCTCCGGGAAATATCAAACTTGTTGCTTCTTGTGAGAAGAGAAACAGCCTCAAAATTATTTCACCTCAGGAACAAAGTTTCAGGTTTTGGAACTTCAAAAACTTTAAACCTTCAGCTTTGAGGTTTAAAATGAAATTTGCAATCTACAGGGAAATACTTAAAGAATTGAAGGGCTCTTTCCAAATATTAAAAGATGGGTGCATAAGAAAAGCCTACACACCCATTTTAATATAGCAATAAAGCAGCTACATTGCCATCTTTCTTGACCTGAGATACTGCAATGGCAGAAACGAGGCTATTGTGAAAGCTTTCCCTATCGTGCTAATTATTCTGAAGGAATTATTTTCTGTTGTTTTGTCCATGATGCAAGCAAGCTGAATACCCTACTAGAAGAGTTTTCCAAAGTTTAAAATACCTGTTATTTATTTTTTCTTTATATCTGTCTTACATATTCAGCTAAAAAGTAATTTTCACAGAGCTAGCTAACTAATCTCTGGAAATCTTTTTTTTTTCCTCTGGAAAATAATTTCACTGTATAAAATTAAAAGCACCAGATTATGCTTCATGATGTTTCAAAAATGTATTTATTAGTTCAGAAGTGCATTTATATATTGCACATTATCTTTTTAATTGGTAGCTAACATCACTGTTTGAATTATGCCAAAAACAGCACACTGTGATGTTAGCACTTTTATTCTAAACTGATTATCCACATTCAAAACTGATTTGAAAATAATAGATTTCTTCACATTTGTATTACTTCAATCTAACACTGACTTAAATATATGCACTAATACTTATGTCCAATGTATTTTGCCTGAAAGAAAAATGTTAGTAGCAGACTTGCCTTTGAGTATTTATTTCAGTTATATAATAAAGTCAGAGAAAGCAGTTTGAAAACATTTTGCAGTGCACATTTAAAAAGTGGCAATCCTAGTCTGGAAATCTTTGTATGGAAGAAGACATGGCCAAGCTACTGTGCATGCAAACTTATCTTGGAAATAAGGTAAGTTTTAATAACCAACAATATGAGACAGCTATTTTAATATGACTGTGCACACACCCTTACCAAAAACAATACCAGATACCAGTTTTGATAACACAGATAACACTGGATTCCAGAGAGGAACCAATTTACCTCCCTTAGCCAATTCCTAATTACCTCTGTAGCTTTACCCTCAGTAAGTTTGCAGACGACACCAAGTTGGGCGGGAGTGTTGATCTGCTCGAGGGTAGGAAGGCTCTGCAGAGGGACCTGGACAGTCTGGATCGATGGGCCGAGGCCAGTTGTATGAGGTTCAACAAGGCCAAGTGCCGGGTCCTGCACTTTGGCCACAACAACCCCATGCAGCGCTACAGGCTTGGGGAAGAGTGGCTGGAAAGCTGCCTGGCGGAAAAGGACCTGGGGGTGTTGGTCGACAGCCGGCTGAACAGGAGCCGGCAGTGTGCCCAGGCGGCCAAGAAGGCCAATGGCATCCTGGCCTGTATCAGAAATAGTGTGGCCAGCAGGAGTAGGGAAGTGATCGTGCCCCTGTACTCGGCACTGGTGAGGCCGCACCTCGAATACTGTGTTCATTGCATATTCTTTGCATGCTTTCATTTGAAATTCACTATTTCATGGAGAAGGGAATAAATATTGCAGGGTAAATTATATCAACTGAGACTTCTTAAAATGCTGGTCTCGCAGCTTGGGGGAATCTGCAGGTAGAGAGTCCAGTGCCATTGCCAGGAGCATGGGGATAATTCCGATCTCCGTTCCACCTGGACATTCCTGCAGGAAATTGCCCACGGAAGAGGCAGAGTTTGAACCGTTTTGGTTCTACGCTTTAAAGGTCCAAGTGCAGGGATTGATGTGAGGGGAGCACAACTCCTCATTGCATACGAAGGCAGGGAGACTCCTTCCCCCGATTCTTGCTAGCAGCTGCTACCTCCTCTCCCCTCCTCCTTGGCTCGCGTGGAGGGAACCCCATCCAATTTCAGTGTACTCTGATGGATACATTTTCCCTCAACAAAAATGGGGCGACTTCTCTGGAAGTATTTAAAAGACGGGTAGATGAGGTGCTTAGGGACATGGTTTAGTGGGCATGGTGGTGTTGGGTTGACGGTTGGACTCGATGATCTTAGAGGTCTCTTCCAACCTTAATGATTCTATGATTCTATGATTTTAATCTTTTATTTGATCATGGCCCTTCAAACTTTGACGTGAATATCCTCTAAAAAACAAATGCACTTTTTTCCTGAAACTTCAGAATACATTTGGCCCATTAAAACATGAAATTAAATTATCCATGGCAACCAAAATAAAGCATTATAGGTATTAACGAACCACTAATACTTAGGGACAATTCTTATACAGGTGAACTCTGTGGGTTCTGGTTTACGCTGGAGATTTCAGTAGTACCAATTATTTATATCCGTTTAGTTGCTTCCATAAAGTCTTAGTAGAAATATTATATAGTGGTATTTACAGAAGAGCAGTAACATTCAACTTGAAACAGCTGAACGAGTACAAATGGTTGCTAAACCACCTGTAACAAGAGTTTGCATACTTTGTAGTTCTGATCATGGTCTCATATTGGGGAAAATTACCTGCTGTCAAACATTACTCCCATGAATATTCTTAATGTAGCTATGAATGCTTATGTGAGTAAGAGCTGCACATTGAAGCCACAGATATGTATCGAAATCCTAGGAAGAAAACTTATTGCTATTAAATTCAGTAAGAAAACACCAAGTTTTAGGAGGTCCAAGATTTCATCCCTTCATCACAAATTATCAGATGGTGGGTAGTTTTACTTGCTCTATAATTATCCAAAATAAAAAACTGTTTGTGCTACAATATCAGTCAAAATTCACAGAAAGAAACATTTCTGAAGAATAATACTCTTGGGTTTGACAAAGCTTCAGAAATGCAAATGACAGCTTCAGAAATGGTTCAGATATGACAATCCCCAATTAATTTCTATTTTAATTCCTGAACTATGCAATTCTAAACATAATTTCACATCTATCTAGGGCAGAAACTGCCTATGGAATGTTACTTGAAAACAAGATACAGTAACTTCTGTAATCTTCTTTAAAGCATTAAGTGAATCTGTAAATGTTGATGTTTATAGCTTGTACACTTTAATTGAGATGCCCTATTTTCATTGTTGCCACTTTTAATTCTCTTAAGAAGTGGCACATGGTATGAAACACAATTTGTAAAGATCAAGATCAATCAAACATTTCATTCTGCCTTCTGACGTGCTACTTGCTGTCGATTTCCCCATTCTGCCCTCTCTCTGGCCTCCAATAGCACCAGCAAGGAGCGTGACAAGTCCAGTGCAAGATTAAATAAAGGCAGACATTCCAGTAACTTGCTTTAATGCTAAAATATCAGCTAAGAGGTTTCAAAATTATAGCAGCTTGGGTTTTATATTACTAAACCTACAGTTTTAAGTGCTGTTCTCAGAGATGGATTCAAAAACAACCGTGAATTTGAGTTACCTGCTGATAGGGTCATTTCTACTCTTTAGATTAACATTTTTCAGGAAAAAACAGGTTTTAAGAATGACTAGGCTGTCACTTTTTAAGGAATAAATTAAGACTACTTTCTATTTCAGACTAAACTGTTTGTGTTTAACTAATTCAGATGGAAGGTTACTATTGTTATGTCTGAAGTAATATTACTGTCATTCCTAATTAGCTTGTACTTTCCCAAGTGTGTTCTTGCACTGCTACCAGAGTTCCTAGGACAAAAATAGGCTCTTCGTGTCAAAACACATTTCAATAAAGTGTAGATCATCACAACATGGGTAAGAGATATGGTCTTCTCCATAACTTAGGACTGTAAATGGTCTTGAAATAATGTTCAGTTTTGGATGTCTCATTAACAAACTGATACAAGCAGAATAAACAGGTAAAAAAAAAAGGGAAATTTGTTGAAGAGTAAGTTCAGAACTACCAAAGTTCAGTTCTTGGTAGGAAAGAAAGTGTACTAGAAGTAATGTATTCATACTAGGATAACTTTCTCACCAGACTGATTAGCCTTGTAGGATGGCAAATTCATTCTTAATATTGGAAAAAAACAAGTCAATCAGCTTTTACTGTAC